GAGGAGGTGAAGGAGGAGGAGGAGGAAGAGGAGGAGGAGGAGGAGGAGGAGGAGGTGGCGGTGGCGGTGGAGGTGGAGGTGGTGGCGGTGGTGATGGTGCAGGGTAAGAGTAACTAGGTTGGGAGCTTGGATATCCTTGTTGACTACCTCTTTCCGTAGGTAACGAGAATGGTACATTGGGTCGTCGATAAGAATATCCCGCTTGACGGCTGACACGCGACCAGCGTGCGCCAGCGCAATTGATCACCAACAAGATATATATTACCTATAAATATGATTTTTAGTGATTTTAGTGAAATAAAAACAATGTAAGAGATATAATGTTAAAATAGCTTACCCATTTTGATGGTAGCATAAGCATTTCGCGTATGCTAGCAGTGCAACATGACAGTTGCTTTTATATGGATGTTTTGCATTATCCGATTCATTTTCTGTGTCTTACCTGAAAACTGCATCTATCTAATTCTACTAATTCAGGTGATAGTTACAGCTTATTAAACTCGCTACATTCACCGCAAGATTATGGGTTTTAAGTAGAGCAATGGCAAACTTCTTTTTCATCTTGCAAGAGATGTGTTGAAACAAAACATTTCTTTATATAATTAGAAATACAATAATGTAAATAGGACGTAAACATCATGAACGTTTTTTTTTGTTTTATAGATATTTACGTATTATGATATCCAGTTTCTTTACATTTAAATATGTAAACCGACTTTATTCATGAGATATCTGAATGAGAAATATCTATATAGAAATGAAGAAATTAGACTTGAACGAATATGAGTGTCATATAATAAAATAATAAAATTCATTATGCACACACAATGTAAATTCAATCTATATTATGTACTGTGTAATACGTTCATTTTTTTTAAATAATATTAATATATGAATTATTCATTCACATATATTTGTCGATATATCATCAAATTATCTGCACATCTTTTTCTGATTTCATTTAATATTATACATTCTCTTATACGTAGTATTCTAGATATGCTCACTGCAATGAATATTAAAATCATATTATAATAATATAGCAATAGTAAGATATTTTGTATTCTTTAAGATATGTTGCACATCTTTTCTTTTTGAAACATAATTACTTGAAAAGAAATAACAAACATTTCGTTCATTGCTCAGCTGCAATATTGCAACCGCATTTCATAATTATTCATAATAAGACACAGAGACAAATAGTAAGTCAGTGCCTATATGCATAAAGTAAGAGAAAAATATTGTCATGAAAATAAAATAATCTCGAAAATGGAAATTGCAAAATTGTAATATCGTAATAATTGACAAATCTTACATATATTACTTACATGACTTATATTTTTATATTTAAAATATTATGTAATTATTCTTGATAATACAAAAAATCTTTTTATTGAAATAATATAAAAAAGTATCTCTATATATTAAAATATATGATTCGTGTATTTTATCTTACAAAATTCCAAATTGTACAAAATAAATTAAAGCGATATGAGCTTCAAAAATATTAATTAAATGAAAAAATGAAGAATTAAATTGTAAATATGAATATTTTCTGAACAAAACAGGAGAAAATATAAAGACATTCATAAAAAAATACATACAATATGTAAAATATAAAAGAAAAAAAGTTTTATAAAAATAAAATAACTAATAATAATTATTTTTATGAATAAAATTCAGGTGAGAATAAATGAAATTCCGATGAGAGAGAGAAAGAAAGAGAGAAAGAGAGAAGAAAATAAATCAAATAAGAAAAAGACTTCTATTTTCAGTCAAAGCGAATTATGATGCTTGGTAATAACATGTAAATTTGCAGATACATTTTTTTTCAATCTTATAAACTGTGCGCCTAGTTTGTCGGATTAAAAACGCAGTTATAAATTGAAGCTAAAAATAAGATCACAAATTACATTATGTGTGATTATTAATTAATTAATAAAAATGCTAATAAGCACTTTAAGCTGATAGTGATTAATTATCACTCTTATTGTTTAAAATAATAAGAAAGGAAATGGTCGAAGGAATAGAAATAAATGTCTTATATCTCAAATTTATTTTATTTTATTTTCTAAAAATTTCACACGGTAGGTGGCTAACATATGAGCTTGCTGTTTTTTCAAATTAAAAATTTAGGTCAGTTTCAGTAAAAATCGAAAACCGAAAAGCAACATTTTATAATTGATTGATGAAAATCAATTAAAAATAATTTCTTTTCGATTCATCGTTATTTGACAATCTTTTAATTTAAATATTAAATATTTTAATATTTTATCATTTATTATTTCAAACTGTTTTATTTGTAATTTATTGCTCGCTATTTTTTTCTAATAAAAATTTAAAAAATTATCTTTTTGTCATTACTAATATAATTATTTTTATATATTTAGATAATTTCTCACGACTCAGAGCCAAACCCATAGAGGAGTAACGCTGTCGAAATCGAAAATATCGGGCTGACCTATGTGCGAGACGTTGGGGAAAGTAGTCGACCATCGGAAAGGCTGCGTGGAGTCCAGCATACTCGGTCCGGAAGTGACCTCAAAACGTTTCACACTGTCAGCATCCGCCAGGATGATTTTCGTGTCGATTATACCAAATGGTAAATCAACTTTCTCCAGATCTCCTCTATTAGTTAAAATCTGTACCGGATCCTCATTTTTAATGGTAAACTTCTCGTGACTGTATCCTCGCATCAACTTCTTAAAGTGTTCCGCCGTAGTAATGTTACTCTGTTGTCTCACGACTATCTCTCTTTTTGTCATATCATCATTTTCTTCCTTGTTTTCGTTAATTATCATGTTGATCTTGGGATGAACTTCACCGATGACCCAAAGTATGTCAGTGCTGACGAACTGCTTGCTGACATTTGTTGTTTGAATAAGCCCCGGCAATTGCTCGACAAGATAGACGATGTTGTCACGTGGTTCCAAAATGGCCCATTGTCGCGTTGTATCGGCACCATTTTGCAATGACATGTTACGAGACCAGGAACATCCATTTATTGCCAGACGATTCGCCGCCATTACTCTTACGGATGACATTACCTGTGAAAGAAGGAAATTAACTAACTGATGATTTTTAATACTATAATAAGTTTCAAAAAAATAATAGACAACAAAAATTGATTCAAAATTTATATCATTTCATATTTTATCATATCGTAAATTATTTTATATAAATATCTTTTGACATACATGTACATCTGTAAACAGTTAAAATTATAAAAAACAAAATGTAAAAAACTTTGCTCACCTGATTCTTTGCTTTCATAAAATTCCATAGACTGCTATTAGTGTCTGTCATTGGCGTTCCAGCGATAATCATCTCACGATTCTCTCCTTGAATCCAATAAAACTCGTCATGAGATGACAGAGCACCTGGGTAAGATGACATTATGGTAGATCTGCTTGGAATTGGCGCAGAGGTTTTTAAAATCGGCAGAACATGATAACCAAAGGTATATTTTTTCAATAATCTCAACATTTTAGCGTATCTGTAAGAAAAACAATAGCTCGATATAAATCATAAAGAAACGTTTTCATTTATTAATAGGATACCTACATTCGATCTTCTTTGCAGCGGAAAAACATAAAAGTTGCGAATTATATTTTGATATAAAAACAATCTTTACATAAATATTTTTGTGTTTTAAATTAAATTCTTTTCAATTATTTCGATTATTATTTTAAATCAATTTCCTTTTTAATTACTTTGATTTGATTTTTTTCACATAAACCACATTTATTATTGGAAGTATATATATATATATATACACATATACATATACACATACATATACATATACATATATATATATATATATAAATATACGGAATAACGATAACTTACGGTGCAGCAGTGGTATGTCCAATAGCTACCAATGGATCTAGTCCTTCACGAGATAGGCTTTTCAGGAAAATCATGCCTTTGATGTAATCGCGATAGGATTCGGAACTGTTTAGCGTTCGCTCGAGATCTGGTAGATCTGCAGCCATTGCCAGCCAGAGGAAATGTTCCTTGTTCATTTCCACTGTCTGCCGACTGCGACGAACCGCGAATTTCCAGCCAGCCTCCAGACCATCCAATTGAACATAAAACAGCCGCACCTATAATATAAAAATAATGACAATTTACAACATATCTTCGCATGAAATCGCGAAAATAAATTTGAAGCACTCTGTTTTAATTATCTATGCAATATATTGAGGACATGTACAATTACTGACCAGCTCTTTTTTTTCTTTAAAAGCAATAAAAATAAATACATACTCAAATTCTTTAATATAAAGAAAAATAAATAAACGTATCAAACATTTTATTGAATATTTCATATATTTTAAAAATATTTTTTAAATATGAAATATTTAACAAATATTTTATATTTTAATCTTCAATTAAAATTTCTATTTACCATGTGCCAAAATGGATCCGTGGATGCCAAGTGCTCGGCACGTTCACGGACAATGATGGTGTTCTCGTGAAGGAATCGCATCAATTTCTGGCATTCGTACGCCCATTTCTCACAAACAACGTTAACGGTATTATACCAATGATGATGGATTATTTGCCATGTCAGACTACCCTCTAATAAACCAGCTGCATAAGCCTGCACGGTGTCCGGATACTTTGATGACGTTTCTATTTCGATGATGGACCATCTGGAATATATCCGCAGTGCTTATTTTAATACACATCATATATAAAATCTGCAGAATATTCTGATTTGTAAATATGAAGCGGATGTATAGCTTCTATGGATTTTGATTTACATGTTGAAGATATTTACATGGCTATTTACAAGATTATATATGTCAGGATCATCCAGGAAAAGAACTGCTACATGTCTGCTACCAGATCTATGTATCCAATCGTTTCAATCACACAAAATTAAATTTGTTGAAACACACACACACACACACACACACACACACACACACACATACACACACACACACACACACACACACACACACATATACACAAAGTATCAATTATTAATGTAAAATAAATCAAAATTACTGCGATTCTCTCCAAATAAATTTAAATAAAAAAAATCTGTTTTGGAGTTTTGTGTTCTTTCACAAATATATACAGTGAATGCAAAAAGTACGGAGAAAATATTTTTTAAAAAACTTTATTTTTAAAAAGTAAATATTATCCAGCGAGAAATAAGTCATCGAATTGATATCGAATCAATCTAAATTTTTTAACATTAATTTGATGCTGATTCGATTTAATTGACGATTATTTCTTGTTGTATTAACAATTGTTGTTGTAATAATTAACAATTTATTGAATATATAAAGAAATAGACTGTATGTTTCTTAAAATTATACCA